CCAGAGGAATCTCAGGGGGATCCAGAGGGATCTCAGGGGGATCCAGAGGGATCTCAGGGGGATCTCAGAGGGATCTCAGGGGGATCCAGGGACACCCCCAGCCCCGTCACTCACTCTTGGTGTCCAACTGCGCCGCGTATTTGCTGAAGGACTTGAGGGACACCTTCTCCCCCAGCAGCGCCAGGAACTCCTCCAGGGCCGGCCCGGCCTCCTCGTTGTTGTACATCTCCTCCTCCGAGCTCTGCCCGGCCTTGCAGTACAGGATGCCCACCTTGTGCCGCCGGCACAGCTGCGGGAGGAGCAGGAAGGGTTAATGGGGACACTTTTGCTGTGTTGCCCATGGGGGCCCCCCCTTCCCCCCCTGTACACTTTTAATTTGCCTTAAGCTGTATTTCATCAGCTGCATTTTGCACAAGGAGACTCTGAGGGCGTCAGACCTTAAAGGAACCACAACAAACACCGGGCAAAGAACCCCAATCCCATAAATCTCATCCAGAGGAGCCCAAGGTGACGTCTCAATAGGTGAAACAGCCCAAAAGCCAAGGGTTTCTCTAAGGCTGAGCGATCAGAACACAGGGACAACAGAAGGAACGAAAGGTCCCCCGAGGTGAGGTGAGGATGAGGGTTAAAAAACAGCCCCCAGGATGAAGACAAACAGGAACTCCCGCCAAAATATTCCTCAAAATGGAAACCACGCCTCAACCTCCGCCCCTAACTCCACCTGTTATGAATATTGTAATCAGATGATGCAGTAATATGAATATGTAAAAATTACGTTGTAATCGTGATCAACACGTCGTATAAATTGCCTCTTCTTGCTGAATCACTTTGGAGTTTTTAACCTGGCCTGAACGGGTAGATCTCCCCCGGCGTCGTCGATAATCAATAAATACCTCGCTGCTTATGGACTTCAAACTCTGTCTCTGAGCAGGTTTTTACTCACCTGCCCCTTTTTCTGGGCATCAGAGTCGATCCCGCCCCAGCCCTGTGTGTGTGTGAGTGTCCCCCCCACCCCAAAAACAACCCCCCCCTCACCCACCCCCTGCTCGTCCAGCTTGAGCAGCTGCTCGGTGACTTTGGGGGTGCTGAGGGCCAGGCGCAGGCAGTGGATGTTGAGCTCGGGGATGACGTATTCCAGCGTGTCCCGCAGCGGGAGGCCCCGCACCGTGCCCGGCTTGCTGGTGGTGGGCGTGGCGTCCTCCAGGATCGACCCGCGGAGCGTCACCAGCTGGGGAGAGGGACGGGATGGGAATGGTGACACCCCGATGGAATCGCGGGCACCACAGCGGAGAGGGGATGGAACCAACGGAGAGGGGACGGAACCACCGGAGGGGGGACGGAACCACCAGAGAGGGGATGGAACCACCGGAGAGGGGATGGAACCACCGGAGAGGGGACAGAACCACCGGAGAGGGGACGGAACCACTGGAGAGGGGACGGAACCACCGGAGGGGGGACGGAACCACCAGAGAGGGGACGGAACCACCGGAGAGGGGACAGAACCACCAGAGAGGGGATGGAACCACCGGAGAGGGGACGGAACCACCGGAGAGGGGATGGAACCGCGGACACCACACCCGGAGAGGACACGGAACCACCGGAGAGAGAACGGAACCACCAGAGAGGGGATGGAACCACGGACACCACAAGGGGACGGAACCACGGACACCACAGCCGGAGAGGGGACAGAACCACGGACACCACGAGGGGACGGAACCACGGACACCACAAGGGGATGGAACCGCGGACACCACAAGGGGACGGAACCACGGACACCACACACAGAGAGGGGACAGAACCACGGACACCACACACAGATCAGGGACAGCCCCACGGACACCACACACACTCAGCTCATCAGGGACAGCCCCACGGACACCACACACACTCAGATCATCAGGGACAGCCCCACAGACACCACACCCAGATCAGGGACAGCCCCACAGACACCACACACACTCAGCTCATCAGGGACAGCCCCAGGGCCGCTCCCAGACCTGGCTGGTGCGGAAGATGAGGCGGTGCTGGTACTGCGGGCCGTGCTCCTTGTGCTCCTCCAGCTTCTCCCGCCGGATGCTCACGGCCACCGGGCCCAGCTTGTCGTCCACGCCGAAGTAGTTGGAGTGTTCTGGGGAGGAGCAGCGGGATCAGGGGGGTTATGGGGGGCAGGGGGTT